GTGGGTATACCTTGGGAATGTTATTGGCCAAACATTCCATTTTAAACAACAACTCTCCAGAATACAAAGTCAGCACCATTCCATACCCCATCATATAGAGAAACTTCTTTTAATTTTGGACAGAAGTATATAATTAGTCGGATAGCATATTCTCAAACATATTAAAGAAAGACACAATATATAATATGCCCTTTAACTTAGCTTGAGGTGGCATCTACACCCTTTAATTTTTTATCTGCACAAGTAAACACTTAAACTTGTATAAAATTGAATAAATTTGTAAACGCATCTTGCATGATATAATACACATAGGACATCATGTATGATGATGTGTAGGATGCGAATTGCTACGTAGGACGCCAAGTAAGACGCATGTGTTTACTTGTTCAACTCTATATAAGTTTAAGTGTTTGTTTGTGCACAACCAAAATTGGAGGGTATAGACGCAAAATGAAGCCAAGGTAAAGACATGTTTATGTTTTATTCCATAAAGAAAATAACTATTATCACTCCTAGTTCCTACTAATTACCGAATAAGGACTAGAATAACAAGTACTCCTTCTATTTAAGTAAAAACATAGTATTATCAGTATATCACCAAAACCAAAGCACATCAAAATAAAGCTTAGCAGAGATGCAAATAAAAAATTTTATGTAGTGGCAATAAATATTTACTCCTAAATAAATTGAACCATAACCTAAGTCCTTGAAATGACAAACACAAGTGAAAGTCAATCCAAATCTAAAAACAAAAGTCAGCACCATTCATTCTGCAACTCATATTAATTTTAATTTAGTTAACTTTTCTACATCCTTATTATGAACACTAAATGCTTACCAAGGCCTACTTTTGTCACGCCTCGAGCCTACACCCTGGACGTGGCCGGCACTCGAAGACCATTGCTGGCCCCAAGCGAACCCTTGGCCTGACTTTCTTAACTCAGCGGATAACTTAACCAAATTTTCCAGATTTTCAAATTCTTATAAAAAAAATAAAAAAATGATTATTTCCAATTCTAAGCCTCTTCATAGTTATTTCAAATTGCCGGATGTTATAACTTTAACTAACATAATTACTACATAAAATCTATAATACAAAGAAACAAGTTAAATAACATAATACTACATAAAATCTATACAGCAAAGAAACAAGTTAAATAACATAATTACTACATAAAATCTATACAATAAAGAAACAAGTTAAAGAAGTACAAGGATACTATGAGCACAAGAAAATAAAAATTTCTATGATATTTGATCAAACATTTTTATAATGAAGCAGTAATTCAATAATAAATAATTTAAATACACTAAGAAATTAACCTTAAATATTGTTAGGCCACGACTCCAATGCTCCTTGATATATGCTCCCATTGTTGTTTATGTTTGGATTGAGGAAACCCTTTTGTCCTAAATCCTTAATTGCACGGACTCTTCACTTTTGATGTTGCATCCATATCAGATTTTCCAAAAATACTCAACTATTTGTTACTGTTCAAGAAGTCCAATTTGCAAGCCTGACATGAGGCTAGGAGATTCAAGAAATATTGAACGTCACTGAAAGACTTGGCTACATCGTAGTATAGCACATACAAGAACTATATAAGATAGAATCAAACGCATAATAGAGAAATTGAAGACTAGATGGGGATTCCTTGGACGCAAAATAATTTGTCAATGCACATTTTTATAATTTAACAATCAAAATTTTTTTTTCCTAATGTATTTAATCAAACTGATGAGTAGAGAACAAACCATCTAAAATTCAACCTAATATACAAATCACCATAATCAATTCACAAATCATCTGCAAACTTCTTCAGTAAGTTGAAGGAAAGAAAAACTATTTTAACACAATTCAATAGCATAACTTCTTCATATAAGCAGTTCTAACTGGAAAAGGAGAAAAGGAAGAAACAAGAGTTTTAATTGAAAAAAAAAAAAAAGAACGGAATTTCTAAAAGAGAGGGAGTTATAATTTGTTTTCCCTCCAAAAATTTTGCTCCAATATATTCCAGAAAATATTTAGCGTTAGACTTAATTAGCTAGAGGAATCGCAAAGCTACAGTTTAGCTAGGGACTATCCCTAGCGATTATCTACTTAGATTTTGAAGTCAAAACGTTTGCTAGGAAATACGTATTTCCTAGCAATTTCATAGCTAATATTATATTTTAGATTCAAAGCTAACATTGGTAGCTAATCACATGTTCTCTTGTAGATGCATTCTTTTATACTAAATGCAATGAGGTTAATTTCAATCTGGCAATAGATTAAAAAAACTTGAATACGTATAGAATTGATTGATTGTAATATCTAACTAGAATCTTGAATTTAAAACTGTCAAATAGAGTCGATAGATAAATGATTGTTCAGATAAAATACACAATTCAAATACATTTTATTTCACTTGAAAATTGATGGTATGGACTTAGTCTATAGACTAAGATATATACAAATGTGGGATACAACAAATTATTCTGCCAAAATATTGTAAGATATAAAGTACAAACTGTGCCTTGGGGCACAAAGATTTTTCACAAAAATCGGCATTATTTTATAGATGCATTCTCTTACACTATATGCAATGAGGTTTATTTCAATAAAAAACTTGAATATGTATAGTAAATGATTGTGATGTCTAGCTAGACAATAAAAATTATATAAAATTCTTGAAGAATTTAAAAGACTAAAGCAATTTCATTGAATATAAAGTACCCTCAATATTTGTGAAATCACTCAACATTAAGGGTGTGTTTGGTATGAAGGAAAATGTTTTCCATGGAAAATGTTTTCCTAGAAAATGTTTTCCTGGAAAACAAGTTGATTTTTGACTTATTTTCTCATGTTTGGTTGATGAGTAGAAAATATTTTCCGAAAAAGATTTTTAGTGTTTGATTTATGAATGAAAAAATATTTTTGAGAAATATCTTTTATTTTTACTAGAGTAGAAAATAATTTTTGAAATTGAAA